GAGTGTGACATAGCGTGATTCGGAATCTGAAGGGCTATCCGGATCACAACTAAGACTTCGAGGATGAGACCCAGCCACGGCAATTGTGTGATGGATTCGTACTCCTCAGTTGGAATCGACGGTGGTGGTAGTCCAGGAAAACAGTACTGCCAGCACGTAGAGAACATGGTCAACGAGTGTAGAAGGTCGTCCAGCGACTGCCATTGTGCAACATCATCATAGATTCCGCAGCGGCGAAGTTCATCCAACATGGTGAGATACAACCAATGAAATCTACCACAAGGCGGCGACATGAATACAAGCATCACAGACAATCACACAAGAGGCAATGCAAGAACGAGCAAGTACAAGATCAATCTGGTGCAACGCAGACACTTGACGGACGAGTTTTCACCTGGACTCATCCGTGACATTGTTGCCGCTCCGGGCTCATAAGAGAACGAAGGTCATCATGATGCCTTCTCATCCGCAGAGTAGGCGAGCGGTCACGATGAGGTGACTCAATGCCTTCTCAGTGAGTTTGGTAAGATAGCCGGGCTCTAGTCCCCACGAAGCAGCCATCGCCCCGAGCGTGGGTGCGTCGCCTTTCGGCATGCGTTGCCGCGCCTGAAGGAGCTGCGTCGCCATAGAATCTAATGACTTGTTGCCGTTGAGCCGGGTCGGGTGGTTGGCCCACTTAACCAAAGTGGTGGTTGTGGGTGATTGCTTGAGATAAAGGCGAGGGTGGTCACTGGTCCATGTGTAGTACTTGACAACTTCATCCGGCGTGCTGTGCATGTTGAGCAATTGTGACGCCGCCGGTTTGAACGGCGGTGACGACACTCCGTGAAGAGACTGAATGATCCGAGGTTGCACCACGCTATCAAACGACTTGCCATCCAGGGCGGCTGCGCTGGCTGTAGGAAGGGAGCTGGCAGGTGACGAGGATGGTGTGTGGTTGACCGGTGGCGGTGTAACCAACTCTGCATCGTCCTTCTGGTTTGTCATCGTGGGAGAGGTCGATGCGCGAAGCGATGCGGAATACTGAGCTTGGAGAAGTTCGTGCGCACGATTTAGATCATTGAACTTTTTGACCATGTCATCTGTCTGGGTGGCAGGTGCGAGAGAGGTGTGATGTTGCTGCAGAAATTGAAGTACCAAGCTGGCCAAATGGTCGTGGACCTTGATGCGCTGATTGAAGTCATCGATGTTGAGACCCAGCGTGTTGGCAAGGTCCTTTTCCAGGGTGATCAGGTTGAGTGACTGTGATCTTCGTAGTAGTTTGGAACAGGTACTCCAAAGTAAGGCCTCGGTGCGGGTGCGAAAGCCTTCCCACGTCACGAATCTGCCGTGTGCAAACGGCCTGAGTAGCCAGTTGGTGAGGCCCCCGTGGATAACCTGAACCAGGCGTACGTCCCTAATATCCATGCCTGACATGTCGCGAAGGTTGCCATGCGGAGTGTTGGCAACAGTCATGGGCAGGCTGAAGTTGTAGAGCTGATTGACATCAAACATGCCATCTCCAGGTGTCCAGTCAGGCGAGGGAGTAAGCCAGGCTTTCTGAGGACGAACCGGTAGAGCCGCAGGAGGTCCAGGTGACGGTGTAGGTTGGGAAGTAGTAACCGGTGGTGGCATCACGGGTGGCATGAACTTGGTTGGCGTGGGGTCTGGAGGGATCGGCATCATGTAGTTGATCGCTGGGTGTTGGAATTGTTGTGTGGGATTGTGAGTCGATTGAAAGTTGGTAGGTATCATCGGAAAGTTGTTGGCAGCGTTGTAGCCGGAGTTGTGTTGCCATGAAACCAAGTTGTTCCAATCCATGTTCTCCGAGACCTGGCTGTCATTGTGTTCACGTCGGCGTGCTTTGCGAGCTTGAGGGGACGGACTCCGATCACGTCTGCGCCGAGTCCTGGATCTATCACGATCATCACGTCGAGACATGGTGACGCAACCGACTCTGAATCTTCACACTTCCACCTTGAGAGAAACGGATCCGACAACATTCAAATCAATGCAAATGCAAGTCAACGGCCCCCAGCTGCGATGGTCGATGAAATGGATCCGACAAAAGGTAAGTCGACATGTACAAGGCAAAGCAAATACAAGTCAGCAATCTTCAACCGCTATGATACGAGCAACAAGTTCAACCAATGGTAAGCAAATGCAATGAAAGTCGGCAGCCAGCAGCTGTGGTGAGACGTCACTATGGTCTGATCGCTGTCTTCCCTTTAGTGAAACCTCGTTCCTGGTTAAATGTGAAATTCCGCTGTTCTATGATAAGCACGTTGAGGTCAAATTTTCCGACAGAGCCGGCCCGGGGTCACACAATGGGTACACCCGAGGATTCCCCACGAATGGGGTGTACACACTTGAACTCCAGATGGAGAGTGCTAATCTTTCGAGTACAACTGATGAGTCTCGAGTACAACTGATAAGTCTCGAGTAAGATAAGTTTCGGCTCGCGATGCACTCGGCTTCCCTCTAGTGACGAAAGCGTTACAAGATTCAACATGAAGCACACACAGCGAGAGAAAGAAGAGGGCCAAATAGACTTTCAGAATCACTCAAGAGTGCAGGTACACAAGGCTGATCAGGCCTTGCATCCCCTCCAGTGATGCAGCTTCGTTGGGCAAGGTTCATCACTGGAGGCCTTGCCCCCCTGCTGCAACAGAAAAAGGTTTTGGTGGCAGGGTGTTCTGCCACTCCGCACACACACACACACACACGCACACGCACACGCACACGCACACACGCACACGCACAAACACACACACGCACAAACACACGCACACACGACCATGGCGCTGGCTTCGACACGTGTCTGCTGCATTCTCTTGCGCGCGTCTGTTCCAGGCCGTGTCCTTGTCTTTGTGAATGTGCGCGCAAATACCGCAAAATGATGTTGCAGCTTCCTGACAACAACCGCCGTTTTGCGGCGCAGCCCGCACAATACTCTGCAGCGTGTGACCGCCGCCTATCACTGTTTGGGGTCTCGTGCCGGGGTAATTTTTTGGGGGGGAGGGAAGGGCAGGGGCGAGAATGGGAATACTGATTATGGTTGCATTTCGAGGGGTAGGGTGTTTTGCCAATCACCATGAGGAGGATCATTTTTCCCCAAACAGTGTGTCTACACTAACGGGTTCTTGCGGTAAGAGAAAAGGCCTTGGTGCCAGATTGAGGTGCCCGCTCTGGCCGCGAGCGTTTTGCGTGGTATTTACCGCAGATTCGTGCTCTTGCTTGATGTCAAAGTGCGTTTTGACTGCGCAGGCTCGCACAAAGTGAGTTGGCGACTTCTGGCCGCGAGCGTTTTGCGTGGTATTTACCGCAGATTCGTGCTCTTGCTTGATGTCGGAGTGCGTTTTGACTGCGCAGGCTCGCACAAAGTGCACAAACTCGATTTTTTTGTTTTTTGGCGGCTCCGGGGACCGTGGGGGTTTTGTCTCGTGGTCCGGCGGCACGGGTTTCCGGCGAAAGGTCCCGGGCTCGATTCCCGCCCTGTCCGCGCGAGCTTGTTTCCCTTTCTTTGGGCATGCTTGGATGGTGCTTCTGTGCTGCGACGGCGTCTCGATGGTACTCTGAACAACAACACCCAAAAACAGCAACAGCAACAGCAACAGCAACAGCGCCACAATCGAGAACAAAGGAAGAAGCTACCTAGCTAGCTAACTCACTAACTCAGGCACCCTGGTGAAACAAACACACAGATCTTGCCTTTTGTAGTGATGCTTACACACACACACACACACACACACACACACACACACGCACAAACACACGCACACACGACCATGGCGCTGGCTTCGACACGTGTCTGCTGCATTCTCTTGCGCGTGTCTGTTCCAGGCCGTGTCCTTGTCTTTGTGAATGTGCGCGCAAATACCGCAAAATGATGTTGCAGCTTCCTGACAACAACCGCCGTTTTGCGGCGCAGCCCGCACAATACTCTGCAGCGTGTGACCGCCGCCTATCACTGTTTGGGGTCTCGTGCCGGGGTAATTTGAGGATGTCACCAAGGGCCTAGTAATCTGAACACACCTAACTCAAATACACCAAAATGATTACACCCAGCTCCAAACCGAAAATGTGAACCTCCCTGCGAAGATTGTGGATGGGAACGCTTGCCATTGTTTTTGTGCTCTGGTTGGGGGAATAATCGGCTGTCCAAATATGCCAATGCCGGGAAAAGAACCTAGGACAATACCATTTGTTCTGATTGATGTCCTTGCAATATTATTGTGTCAGCCGTACCGAGGACTTAAGTGCGTGCAAGCGACAAGGAAAGCCCTTTGTGAAGAATTGAAGGGTCGATATGAATGAATCTCGAACAGTTTGCAAGAGAGAGAAAGAGAGGGCTAGTATGAACGAGCAGACAATTGTATGGGGCCCTGTGCTGCTGATGAGAAAAAGACTGTGTTTGTTTGAGGTATCCTTTTCGGTCGGAAAGAGGAACCATGGCGAACCACAATGTTGAGGAGGTTCCTCTAAATGACACACCCCATGTAAGTTGTACGCCTCCAGTCAATCCCAATGACCAAGTTAAGTTGACCCACTACCTTGGTTTCTCCATGTCTTTGAAGTTGAAGTTGAAGCGGGGGAGTACAGGCCAGCGCCATGGGCAGCAAAAGGCCAGGAACCCAATATCAGTGTCAGGAAAAATCCAGGGGCTCTGGGGCCATTGTAATTAGGCTTTGCTCAGTGAGCCCATCAGCTGCGGCTGGATGCCATACCTCAGGTTTTCAAAAGGTCTGTCAAGATCCAATTTTGGTTTGGTCAATTGGCTACCCTGAAGTTGGAACAGGGTTGCGTACACAAAGCCAAAAGTGTGGTATTTCCAGGTGCTTTGCCAGTAAGCCCTAGTTGGTACTCCTAACTAGTTTGTGGAGTTTGGGATTGCTAGGGAAACTAGGGAGAAACATGGAGAAACACCACTTTATAGGGTCGCCTAAAAGAAGACACACCCAAATGATGGCCCAAATGGCTAACTTAAAGCTGGACAGTCCTGGCGACTTTTAGGGGTTGAGGTCTCCAACCACGGCAGCGCGCGCACGGCGGACGGCGGCTGTGCGCCCACCTCCTCCCTCTATGTGGACGAGCCCTGGGGGTGGTTCGACTGGGTGCCTGCACCGAACCCGACCCGGCGAGATGGGTGTGGTTCGGTTTTGTGAGGGGAAGGGCACCCTGTTTTGGTTGGTTTAAAGAGGGAATCAAGCAAAAAACCACGTTTGCAGTACATCAAAGAGACAATTTTCCACACCGCCTTTTAAGTGGGGTCCCGCAATGTTGACATAAGCTTCTCTTGCTTGTTCTCAGCAGGATATGGCTACAGCCCAAACTGAGCCGTCCAACCCGGTGATTTTTTTTGACGGGGATCCAAAGCCTTCCAGTTCATTCCCAAAACCCGAAATTGGTTCACTCCAGTTATTGGCAGAGGATTGGCAAAACTCCCCCAGAACGTGTCTTCCCATTTGGATTCACAAGGATCCCTGGAAATGGTGAAGTGGCTTGAAGTGGCAAGCCCTTTCGACTGGTTTTAGCATCGCCTTGGCAAGTGCTAATCGAATTTCTAATTGACATCTAAGGCACCCTTGTTGAAATCAAGGGCTCGAAAGCCCAGACTCTTGGATCGTCAAACGGCATCGGGGTCCCAATTTGAAGTGTGTGTGCTATCTCCCTAGTCTTGTTTGGGTCTCGTGACGGTTTTTCATGCCTGAGGTGTGCATGTTTTCCAACTACCACCTGGAACATCACGACGCTTTGCTGGCAAGAGCCGGTAGCTTCCAAAAGGTGCTGGTGCACAAGGCGCCCAGGAGGATTTTGAGAGGCGACAGGAACCTGTTGGAAGAGACATTAAACCTTCGTGCGGTTTGAGAATTTTCGCGCACCAGAGATGTATTGGTGAAGGGAGGAATGATATTATGAAGTTGGACGGTCAAAGGGGTGGCGTCTTACTTGTGGATGTTTCTCAGCGCATCGGTAGGGGAGCACCCACCAGCATGGTTTGGCGCACAACCCGAAACTCTGACTATGGGCTTTGGGAAGACTGCGTTTATGAGTACCAGTTTGTGACTCAGAACGCCCTCAGACAAAATGTGTACGAAAGCCTCGTACCCGTTTCTTGGGCTTCCCATTTTTGAGCAAATCGAGCGTCTACCGTGTCTCAAAAAGTAGTGGGAACTCTGGTCCATGGTTGTAAAGCAGGTTTTGGGGCCACTTTTTGTACCAAGGGTGGCTCCCGCAACAAAGTAGTCATGATGACACGTATGCACACATGACAGAGAGGGATAGTTTCCACGCTGTCCAGTGTCCAAAATTGGAAACCGGTTGTTGCGTTCCATCTGTGATTCCTTTTGAATGCTGTCTGGCGGGCGTCAAGACCGTGGACCATTCCGTGGCTCCCCTTATGGCCCATCATTGCATTGTGGGCAACGAATCAAAAGGCACAACGGCGCCCTTTTCAAGGCCTCTTTGTGCTCATGGGGACAGAATCGTCCCATGCTGCCCTGGGGAGAGAGACATTCAAGCCCAGTCCCCAATTCGACAGGAAAAGGAGCCCTTCCATCAGAACCGGCTGGGGCGGCTTGGTTTCATTTTCATTTGGGCTTGCCAGATCTCCCGTGCATCCAGTCGGCCTCAGGACTTCCCCGACGTGCCGCTGTTGAAGCTGCCGGAGCTCCGCACACGCGCGCCGGAGTTCTATGGCCTCCCGTCGAAAGCTGAGAGGCAGGGGTTGGAAGTTGGAAGTCGGAGAGGCGAGTTGAAGAACCTGGGGTGGAGATCAGTCACTGGGGCAGGAAAATGAAACGTGAGGTTTGAGAAGTGTTTGGGGAGGTTGAGGTTTAGAACCGAGGGCTTACAAAACAAGTAACCAACTGTTTTCGATGGAACTAGTAAGGGCTAAACTTTTTCACGGTGAGGCTGAGAATTATTTGCCAAGCGGGGCGAACCACTCAGACGACTCGGGCGGCGACCCCTTGGGTTGTTTAAAGGAAGTCTGATGGAAAGCGCCCATGTGGGAGTTCCATAGACCTAGTGGTTGAGATAACCAACTGGGTTTCCTGACCAGTAGGCTTCTAAAATCAGTCAGTTGGGATCCAATAGACTTTGCCTTTGCCCAGTCGTTTCACGGGCTTCATGGTTGTTTCCCTAGTTGTTTGGATGCTTGCAACCCAACAAAACACGGTCCCCTCGTTACAACAAAGACAATTATCCTCTTAAGATTAGAGAAATAAAGCGAACTTGTGGAGGGTTGTTGGCGGGCGGGCGACTCAAAGCTGGGCTGTGAAGAGGCGACTCATTCAAAACCTTTCAATATTCTAGACATTTCTGTGTGGCCCTTGTAATGTGACAAGAACAAACAATGCCTAATTAAACTTGGAAGTCAAGTTTCACGGTATTCCCTTAAGGTCGCTTCTGAACCGCTTTTGGACCGCACTGACTCCCAGACCAAGGTGGCGAGAAAGTGGCATTTGCTGGTTGAGCGGCGATCCACTTTTGTTTGGTTGTTGAATGTTTGCTTCACGGGTTAGTCAGTAGGCTGGCTAAGTGGTTGGGTTGCTACTTGCTTGATTGGATGCTGCCTTGTTCTTTGCTTCTTTTGTTTGTCTGCTTGTTGATTTGTTTGTTTGTTTGTTTGTGTGTTCGTAATTTGGTTGATGGTTTGACTTGGAGCGAATCGACAAACCGGCCCAGTTGCTGTTTCGGCATTTGGCGTACGCCTAAAAACAAAACACACACACACACATTATCAGATATTAGAGACTTTGCAATCAGCCATTGCAAAGAACACAGCCTGGCTGTATAAATGCACGTAGCACAGATGCAAAACTACTTCGAACAACGGTTGCGACATTTTACCCTACCTTCCCTTACGCTGACATGCTTCCACTGCATACATCGTCACGCGTGCAAACTCCAATATATTTGCACCCCTTTCAACTATATCACATGAGGCTCGCTCAAATCTGCTTGTTTCTACAATAGGACATGGGACAATTAGAGAGTCCTTGCTAAGGCGTCTCATGAAATTTTAAATGGACGTCCCGCGCAAAATTACTGTGGCCCAGATGCACCGGAACCTGAAACCATCAAAAGGAATTTCCCTTCGTGGAAACATAATGACAAAAGCTCCCCCCCCCTCACCCACTTTCTGAAAGGATTGGCCCAACCAACGTCCGAACTTGTTTGTTTCCCACACTGCAATTTGCCAACTGCCCCAAAATTTGCGCCGTAAACCCCCCTGTAAGCCCAGTGTGAGCCCCGATTGAAATTCAGGGCTTAACTTGACTGAGCCCCATTTAACTTCTAAGCCTTCAACTGGGCCCCTGAAAGTGAACATGTCGAGGGTTCTCGAAATTGCTTTTCACCACGAGGGTAATTTTGAGGATGTCTTACTAAATAGGGCCTGATCTATGAAGAGGTTTGGCTTTCCCTGGACTGAATGAAACATGAGGTTTGCAGACTACAGCCGAAAAGGTGAAAACCGCATGGAAGAATGCACCTGAACACAAAACGCATGGTGGGTTGCCAGTCCGAGGGTGTGGACCCAGTTCTAACCTGCCAGACCTTTGCGAGGGTGCCGTCCAATTTGGCGGTGGCGACTCCGGCGGCCACGAACTGGTTAGCCACTGTGCACCGCAGCTTCGCCGAACCGGAGCCCTACGCACCGCGGCTCCAAATGAGTAGTGAGTAGGTGAAAAATGAGTTGTGTCTTTAGCTCACTCCCTGAGATCAGGGAATTTTAAGACTTTTTGGGCTCTTACCTTTCTTGGCCAGTCCACTCGGGAAGTGAGGTAGGTAATAGTTCATAGTACCTTTTTTGGGGTTCAAGGAATTATGAAGTGGAAGCGCACCGTGATAATCCATTTTGTCTTCTGGGTGGGTGTGTCTCTGTTTCGGGGTCCCTAAGAATGAGTTTCCTTCAATTGTCCTTCAACCCCATGTCATGGTGCCCTTCTTTAATTTAAAGGGACGCGGACACCCGACAACGCGGAAGTTTACTCGAGGTCTCGCGATGAAGGGGCACGGAATCCTTATGAGCCTGATTTCTTCAACCAACCCCGTGTTTTGGACCCCCAAGAGGTCAACAGAGTGCCAAAGTAATGGGTTGGGGATTGAAAAAACCAGATGCCCAAAGTCGAACTTTAGTCCTACCTGCCAAATGGTAGTGGCTTCCCCCGTTTTGATGAGTGTCCCGATACCGACTACGTCCCGATACCGAGTACGGATTAGGATTGAGGATGCCACTTTGGAAAACTTAGTTACGAGGTCCGACGTTCAATTCTAGGGCCCCGCTTTCGGCCTGATTGAAAACGCAAGTCCATTTTAGGGTCTATGCCTAGGAAACCTTGCCCATTGTTGACGGTACCCTTTTCCGGTCTTAACAAGCGTTCACCCACAGGGCTCTCAAACGAAAAGGAAGGAAGCACAATCTCATGTTTTGTGTCTTGCAGATGGGGGAAGGGACGAAATCAATCTGTTGCTCATCCAAACTTTCGTCAATCAGGGGCACGCTTGGTTCCTTTAGAACAACCAGCCAGCAAGCGCTGTTTCTTATCTGGCAAACGGGTCTCTTTTTTGGGTGGTTTGCAAAGGGAGCCGATCCCTGTAGGGGTATCTTCTTTGACGATGCCCCGTTGGGGGGGGGGGGGGGGCAAATCGGGCTTCACTGGGGCATTGGGAACCCTGCCTTCCGCACAGGTCTGAATATGTCTTTCCCCGCGAAGGAGATGGCCTTCTGCCCAACCCAAGCTGAAGGCCCAGGGAAAGTGATCTTCCAAGCTTCGCTCAGCTTTGGGAATCAACGTGAAGCCAGTTTAACTGGGGGTTCCTTGGAAACTATTTCTCTTGTTGAAGATTTACTGAACCAGAAATCAATCATATCCTTTTTTGGTTGGGCCAAAGCAGCAGGAAAGCAGCAGGCAATCGGGGGCAAAACACCCTTCAGTTGGGGAAATGTCCGAAGCTTGAAATGTCAGCCCGTTTTTTGTGGGGATGTCTGCACACACAAGTACCATACGTAATTGCAAGGCCTAATTCACGAGTTTGCCTTGTTGGGTGTCCTTCATTTTCCCTTTGAGCCGGCAATAAGTTAAGTTTGTGCAGTTGTCCTCCGGCCCAGCACACAAAGACACACGCATATGCACAGACCAACGCAGTGTCACGTTCATATTATGCACATACACATGTACACATAGACATGTGGATATATATATATATATAGACATATGCACGTATTTCTATATATATGTAGCATATATACACACATGTATGCACGAAAAAACATTCACGCACAGTGTGGGCCACACAGCAACAGTTGGAACAAATTGAATTTCAGAGGTGGCCCAGCATGCAGTCCCCAGGCCTGCTCTGTGGTGAATGGGGTGGATGATGAGCCGCCTGGCCAGGGATTCCAGGTCTGTGGGGAAAGAAGACGCCCCTTGGGCACCCAACGCGGTTGTTGGGTTTTGCTTAATGCCAATGTCTATTGATATATGTAGATGTATATATATATATATGTATATATATATATATACACGCACGTACATGTGTATGTATATATGTATAGACACATGTGCATGTTTGTTATAGCCATACATGTATTTGTGTACAAGGAATGCACACTACCACTGGAGTGCCATTGTTTTTTTGTGGTATTTCATGGCCTTATCGGTTTCTTGTGGTAAAGCTGGCGGGAAGTCACATACTGCTGATGAGGAGGTTGGCAGACTCAGAGAAAGTTGTGTTGGTGATCAAGCACTGAAGATCGTTTTATCCACTAGATTTCGCCTTCCCAACCATTTCAACCAACCAACCCTTCAGCTAAGATGAGCTACGGTCTATTGTCGATGCGAATGAATAAACCCGTCCTGGCAGTAGTGGTGTTCCCTCCAAAACTGGTGATCCGCACTAAAAGGAGACACCCCCCATTAATCACGCAGGGGTTCTACTTAGATCCGGGTTCCCATACCAAGAACCCTCTAGCTTTTGCATGAGTTGTTTAAGACTGCGTGTTTGCCACCCCGCGCCCCCTGCTTGACTTGCTAAGACTGAGCACCAAAATCAATAAGGGGGCACTGGGGAAGTCCCACGAAGATGGCTAGCACAGCCAACAGTCAAGCAAGATTTCCTCCATCCACCGTTTGTCCATTATTTGTTGTTCGATTGTAGATGAGATGCCTTTCGCTCCCGAAAATACGCATGAAACCTCATAAACACAGGAGGAATCCGCTTTTGAGATTGGAATTATCCTCGCTCAGATGCAAATGTCCGATGATTCTAGGGAGAAACCCCGCCTGAAAAGTTCAAGTGGTGGCTTCGGGGGTTCCATGTGGTAATGTTCAGGGGAAAGAATGCCACCCCAACAACCCCAGTGATGAGGCATGCTTGGACGCTTGGGGCATCGGGGAGGTGGTTGAAAGGTTCTCTGGAAGTAAGGAGTTTCTCAAATCGAAATAAATGCAAACCAGCGCTTCCCAAACTGAGCAGCCCTGGTTTCATGGACTGGCAAAAATTGTTCCAAGGCTTGTTGTCTCGTTTTCCCTTTGGGCAGAAAAACATGTGAGGGCTCACGGCTGCGAAGCAAACTCAGAAAGATTTAATCGCCGAAGCTTAGCGGAGACCCCTCGGCAACTTTGAATAGTCAAGACGACTCCTGGGTTTGCTGACTCAAACACAAATCACGCGTTTTGTTCTTTGATGCATGACTACCAAACCAATCACCCAGTTTCGTTCGCTGGCTGGCTTTCCTCCTGAATGCCAAACTTGGGTGCCCGGTTCTGTCCCGTATTCCACTGGATGGGACGTGTGCCATGGATTGGTTTTTTCCGTGCACCACTTTGAGGCCGCAGCCAATTGAGTCCGTTTCAGACTTTTCTCTGTGGGATCTCTGTTGAAATTGTGCATTTCAAGGTTCACTAGATATGGACCTCATAGATCTGTTGTTGGCGGGCAAAGGCTGAGGTAGCACTGTTGCTGGAACCTCACATTCAAATGGCGCGGAGGTGCCAGAGTTTTGGTCAGGCCCTTTTGCGGGAACTTCAAGGTTCACTATGTATGGACCAGAATCAACATTTGTTTGGTTGGCGAAAGCTGAGGTAGTTTGGGCCTCAGCAGTGGCAGGTTTTTGTCACTTAAGACTTGCCGGCTGCGTCCCAAAGGTATGCTGGGGAGGAAGAGGTCTGCCAGTGAGTTGAGCTTCAGATGCCAAAGGGGCCGATGATCCACCCAAAAACGAGAGGGGCCTAGCAGATGCGTTCTCAACTGTCGTCTGTCCGAACCTCCCGAAACCCAAACATTGTGCGGGGGCGGCCTCATCCATTCCTGTCGCCTTTCGGTATCTTTCATCGTGTTCCTTCTCTTGTTTCTCGTTTCCGGGTACCATCTTCAAAATGGCGGATCCATGTGGTATCCAAACTCATCCTCCGTGCGCCTCGTTCGGCGCAAGACCAAAAAGGAGCCGCGGGCTGCCCGGTCTCCCAGTTCATTTGCAAGGAGTGGATTCCACCCAACTCGTTTTAGGATGGGAGTCCCTGAAAAACAACAAAACCAATTAGAGGTGCCCCTGTTCCCCATGGAAATCCACCCGTCTTATGAGGACTATTGGGACTGACGCAATGCGAGTCAAGATGCACGATCCCAACCCATGATATATCCAACATGGCATCCATGTTTCTCATTTGTTCTCTCTGCCATGTACCCAACATGATGGCAGAAAGGCTCAAATCCTGGGTTTAGGATCGAACGTTGGCCAAGAACGCTGAGCCGTTTGTTTGGTGGCCGCGCCTTATTTCCCGACATGACTTTGAGGATTTTCAGCCGACCGAAATGCTCAAAGCTGGACCGTTGCCTGAAAAGCGGGTTGGACAAAACTGCCTTGGGAGCAAGCTGGTGGACTGGGGGTGGTTTAACGGGTGCCCGACGACCTGCCCAGTTTCATGTGGAGCCAAGAAACGAATCTTGAAATTGGACCTCCCTTGGCCTTCTGTTTTGCAGCTTCCACTTCCACTGATGAAATGGATGGGTTTGCCATGTTCCACCTAATTTGCAAGATTCTGTTTCCGTGTTTCTCTTTTTGCGTTGAAACAGACGTCTCCTTGGTTTGCTTGTCCAGAACTCCCATTTTGTGACGCTCAAATAGCCCAGGGTCGTGTTCAAAGGTCGAGCCGTCGAGCCACGTGTTTCACTGAGCCAGGCGCGGGCCTGGTTCAGCGCCTATGGCCGCTGCAAGTGCGGCACGGGAAGCGGCAGCTCGGGGAGCGGCCAAGGCGGGGCAACGGGCGGGTCGGGCCAGGGACCGCCAGGGACCATCGCAGAGACGGAGGCGGATCCAACGAACATGGCGTCGGCTTTCCTTTTGGTTTAACCCCTTAAAACGCCAACACACAGGGTTACCTCAAGAAAACGGCACGCGCACATCCTTGCCCTTGACTAAAAGGATGAGCAAAGAAAATTTGCTTAAATCCCAGGCTTAGGGTTTGAACGTTTACTGAGGTGGATAATGTGAACCTCAGATTTCGATTAGGACCCTTCAACCCTTCAAGCGGGGTACTTGCTGCTTCCAATGGGTCTGTTTCCACATGGGTTTGCACCCAAGAAACACATGGACCATAGGGAGTTCCCTTTTGGCACCAAAAGGCGATGTTCAAGTCGTCCTCTGGCTGGCTGAATTACAGGACGTCGCAGGGGGGAATGCGCGCTCACCCATGAAAGTTCCTCCATGCATTTGTTATTTTTCGTTCGTGAATAATTTTGACTTTCCCAGAAGTCATGTCAGTTTTGTTGGCCGATGTTGCTTCCCTCTCAGTTTCTTGTGGTAATCCTGTCAGGCATTCACATACATGTCCTATCATGTATAATTTTAGACACCATGCCAGCACATCATGGAACGTCATGTTTGTTGGTCAATTCAACAGCAAAGCGCCCGTTTGTCCCATGTCCTGAGTAGAATTATTGGCCCAGCAAGACATGTTTTCTACGGACAAATTCTGGGCAACATGCCCACTCAGTGGTGGATTGCTTTTCTTTGGGAAAACGTATCTCACCTGAACTCCGCGAATGATTCTAGAGCGGAATGAACCATGCAAGGGATCGATGACTTCGGGGAGCATCTCCGTATAGGCCGCGGGCATACACCCAGCTCGCCATTGGAGGTGCGAATGGGCTATCGGTTCAGGTCAAAGCAGGGTTAACCCCTTGTTCAAATGTCCATAAAGGGGTCCAGAACCATCCCCGAATCCCCAAGGACACCCTGTTTCTCTTATTTACTAGTGACTTCGCCACCAATTACCAGGTAAAGCGATTTACATGGGCAGATAAGAGACATAGTGAATGACCGCTGCTCACTTAGGTGGGTGTGTCCCCAAAATGGAAGGGCCTTCTTTTCAAGGATAGCTTGAAAGGAAGACCAAGCCGATGATGCCAAACATTTCCGGAGTCCAGTCCCGGTTTCGCAAAACAGCCACATGAAGAATTGTCAGAGGTCCTCCAAAGGTGAAAGTTCACAGGTGCCCTTTCAACCTCGATCCTTCATGTGTCGGAAGTGGGTTCCCAAAATATGCTTGGGGCGTCTCCTTCAAGGCTGGGGTGAGTGGTCGTATCAATGGTTAATTAAGTTTGAAGTTGGGGGCTTGTGTAGGAGTCCTTTGCATGAAGGTACGAACAGCTATCCACTTTTTGAGTGGCATGAAGATAGAATCCGCAATCTGTAAGAGGGCCTACTTTCACTTGCGGTCGGAGAAGCTTGATCACTGGATCCTTGTTGGGCTGAAGTGCCTGACGATGTCCAGAAGTTGTTACTCTCATCCAATGATGCTAGATACGATGGTGCATGTTTACGTTCCTCAGAGCAGTGTCCGATGAGAAAGGTTTTGACAAGGCGCTGACTAGAGGATGTTAGTTATGGAAGCGCCTCTCGTGTTGGCCAAGAGGTGCTGCTAACTGGGTACTCTTGGTAGATGTATCAACGCGGGATGTTGCAAACCCATGTGATTGATCTGAACACTGCTCAACCTAAGGTGCTTCGAATTCCATGTGGCAAGGGTGGCCTTGCGTTGCTTGTGTTGTGTCAGCTAAATGTCCATTTAGGTTAGGCTGCGTCAAGCTCAAGATGATGAAACACACGAACAGCTTGACCATGTGCATGTCCATCAGGGATGGCTTAATCATAACAGTAATTCCCTGGATGCTTCAACTGTCGATGTGTTAAGCCTGACAATCGTCAGCTTAAGTTGTTTTCCCTTTGAGATGTGACAACGGTTGATGAAAATGTTTGAGTTGATTAACTCGTGTGTTCACTTTGTTTGATGTGTTGTTGCATTCAGGCTGCTTCAAGCTGAAGACGGCTCCATTCCAAGTTGCCTCAAACTTCAGATGCTTTGGCTCCAGATGCTGCAATCAAGCATGTGTTGCATCAACATATGATGCTTCACATGCTTTCACTTGATCCAAAATGCTCGTGTCTGTTGCAGTTTGTACGTGTTCGACGCCAACCCCTCGCTTGCTCAAACCGGGCCTAGCGCCTGGACACCGGACGCTAGGAGGGCGATCCCCTGCGTGGCTTTGAGCTCAGCTTCCTGCCGCGGCCTCTGATTCCGCGACGCGCGGTGTGGAAAGTGTCAGACACGGCCAATTGGTTTAACGGGGCAGTGAGAACCTCGGCTTCAGAAAGCCCTTGGTTTTTAATCAGGGGGCGTCCGATTCCATTTAGTCTCAAAATGGGATGTCGAACCCAAGAATGGCTTTCCTTTTGGGGCCGGGCGTTAAATAGCCAACCTGTGAGTAAGGCTCCTTTCACAGGAAACCTGGGGTTGGTCGGTAGCAAACTCTTTGGTTCAGCCAGCAAGTTTGCCAGCGAGTTTGCCCATAAGATTGGACAGGCTCCCCTTCCAAAGGGACAGATTCCGTGGTCCAAGAGGGGGCTGTGAAGCCAACCATGCTTGTTGGAAAGTAGGGTATGTGTCTACCCCTTCACACAATGATGGTAGAAAAGATGTACAGTATACTCGGGTTCGGGGTGAATGTTGACCAAGATCTGAGGGGCCTCCTCCGCTGCCTGCGCAGTCGCCTTTTCCCGCAGAGGTCGCTGAGCGGGGTGGATGACACTGTGTCGCCGCGCACGCTCTGCGACATCTCCCAGGAGTTCGCTTTTGTGGAGCCGCTCGTTTGCAACGATTAGGTTGACAACCTAGGTGAATCGCAGCACTTAAAACGCATTGCCTGTGGTGAACAACACCCAACGGAGGTGCCAACGACAGGTTAAGACTAGAATGCTTGCCTGTTGGGTTTGCAAACTGTAGATGGTAGGAGGATATACCATTTTAGCCAAGACCCAGAAAGTTAACATTGTTTGGCCGCTTGACTCAGGTTGCCCCAGGTGCAACTGAAAGTTGCTCCACCCAAATCGCCAATGTTAACCCATACCCCCCCCAACGCACCTGGGAAAGGAATCCTCGCTAAGTGGCCACAACTGACGAAGGGGCCATGAGAGATGCCAGCGCCCTGAGCGCTGAGAAGAACTGCAACCGCGATTCGTGACAGCATGTCACCCGATGTCACCCGATGTCACCTGTTCGCGAGCCGCTCCCTCAATGCCAATCGTTATAGCTTCTGATCCGCTTCTTCTGGCACAATCTTCAGTCTGGAGTAACGTCCTTGTTGCCCTGGGTTCAAGACAATGACTTGAATCTAGGGGATGGCTGTTTAGTGTTGAAATCACCTGAAAACCTGAGAATGAGAACAGATTGAAAGCTTTGTGCCTTGGATTTGAACCTCTTGTTTCGCACTGCCGCTCTGTGTCCCCTCCCACGATCTCGTCAACAGGGATTCAGGGCAAAGTCTCAACAAACGAACAAAATTGCTTGTCGGTTGTTATTTATCACGGCCAAGAATAGCTGCTGACGTCTTGTGGTTGTGTGGTTCTTTTTGTTGAACTCCTTTGTGGACAAGTCTGGTTCGGGTGTTGGGATTTCTCAGTCTTTTGCACGTTGCTTTGTTCTGTGCATGTCCCAACTCAGAGCGTCGACTTTTTCAGTGCAAAAGCTAAGCTCTCACATTTCTGCTTGCAAAGCCTATAATACCTGGCGTCGGCTTAATCAGAGCATACACTCGCTCAAGAGTTCATCACAACCGGCACCAAAGAAGGAATGTTGCCATAGCGATCCCTTCTTTTCGGTAGGTGGATGACTCACACAGAAGCATGGAAGGTTGGTGGATGATAGCAATCAAATCTGCCCAAATTGAAACATGTTATGTCCCGGCATAGTCGAGACCGCCAAACTTGCTGTTCTGCCAGTTTTCACTTCGCCATCCAACATACAAACTTATGTTAGGTTTGGGT